TTTGAATGAGAATTATAGCCGCATGTCTTAGGATTTATATTCGTCTTAAATCATGCTTATATGATGGGTATGTTGCAAGTTATATATCTGATAACACGATGTTGTACTGTGTGATTTCAGTAATCATGAGTTATGTTTTCGAAAATAAGTGTTACCTTCAATATGCATGCCTATGTGCCTTATATGAATTAACTTGTTTGTTGTCATATCACTGTCGACTGGAAACACTTGCGAGAAAAGCTTTGCGCTAAGATCTCGAAGTGTGGGAATTATAGGTAGTGTATGTGGTTGAACTCGTTTAGGACTGCCGACACGATTAGCTACCTGAGTAAAAGCTGTCGTGACGGCTGACATTGTTAGTCGGAAGAGTCAAACGAGCTAACCATGCTGTTGTTCGACGTTGACCGCCAAGTTAGAATTTTTCCTGGCAGTGATGCCAATGTTCGATTCCTTTTGGGGAAATTGTTGTTGTCAAACCCTTTGTCCTGTCAGAGTACTTAAGAATTGTGAGTTTCAGAAATTGAAATTTCTGGTATATGCCTCGAACCGAGTGTCGAACCTGACTGGGTGTAGCCACGCGAAGTGGTGGCCGAGCCTGCACGCCCGTGCTGAGAGACGTGAGGCCAACTGCAGTGGCCGATCATTGACTCGCACGAGAGCTGTCGCCGCCATCACCGAACGCCAAACTCCCCAGGTCAGTGTATACGGCCAAACCTTGACCTTGTAGCTGGTATCTGAGTGGGTACATGCACGCGTCCCAGCGCCCCGCATATGCAGCGCCAGTGTGTGTGTCACCTCTCGGGTGACAGTGCATTAAACCCAGTCCAACTTTGTCCTTTTAGAGGTCTTTGAACCAGATTTTGGTCAAAGTGTATGTTGATCTTTCGAGTCGTTGTGTGAATACCCTAATCAACAATCCCCGGTGTATGAGATTTGTTGATTAGTTTCCCATGCCACATGCGAGATTTTCTCGACATGGCGAGATAGTAGTTTCCGTAGTAATGTGGGGGCGGAGCCTTAAGTCTCGACTGGAGACCGACTCTGCGGGAGGAAATCGTTATTGAGTATCTTGTTGTTACTCCCGAAGCCGCATACGAGGTGTTACTCGTGTCGGCAATGGGTGAGGCCTTGTCATCGGTATAAAACAGAATCATGTGCTCTGAATGTACCAGGTTTGAGTATAAGTGTCGATTGTCTGTCCTATACTGATTTCTCGACCAAGTCAATAGCTTAGCCTGATGGTTGACTCCACCACTAGGACTTGCGAGGATGCATGACACGTTCTAGCCTCGTGTTGGAGGGAATGTGTGCGTGATCTCGAGGTATGTGTGAATTGACGAGCTGCCTGATAGGCAGAACCCTACCTGTATGGAGGTACCGGTGACCTGTGGGACCGATGGTCCATCAGGGAAAGACCGGGAGGGGTACTAGTCAAAGTCCAGTAGTGGTAGTCGAGTCGAGGACGAGATGACTTGGGAGAGGGAAACCGAGATTCGGAGGGAGTACCGAACACCTTGTGTTGATATTTCCTTTGTAATCTGGTAGTTTTATTTTCGAATTCCGAGGACGGAATTCTTTGTAAGGTGGGTAGACTGTAACGCCCCGTTCGTTCATGAATAAATGGATTATTATTATTATTATTATTATTATTATTATTATTATTATTATTATTATTATTATTATTATTATTATTATTATTATTATTATTATTATTATTATTGCCATTAATATCATTATATGTTGCTTTATATTTATTTGTTTAATTGCCCAAGTGAATTTATGTGCCTTATGTGTATTTATAATAAATACTAATTTTGAATATTTTATATAATTATTAAATACTATTTTAATTTAATTTAATTTAATCTAATTTTCGTCGAACCTGGCCCGTAGTATTAACCGAGCTTCCGGTCGAACCAATTGGCCGAGTCGCACCCGCGACCCGCGCCCAAGGACCGGCCGCCCCTTCCTTTTTTCTCCTTGCGTTGATTTTTGGCAAGCTTACTTGTAGGGTAAGTCTTCCTTTTCCTTCCTTGTGATTTTTGGTAAGTGACTTAATTGTGGAGTCTTTCCCTTTTTCCTTGGTGTTGATTTTGGTATGTTGCTTGATTAAGGGGTCTTACCCAAACCCTTAGTGAGCTCTATATATTGGAGAGATTTCTCCCTCTCCTCGTCAATTTCTTTTCCCTCCAGCCGCCTTCTCTTTTCTCTCCTCTCCCTCTCGATCACTCGCTCTCTTTTCTCTTTTCTCTCGGCCACCATCGCACGGTCGCCCTTTGCCATCGCCATCGCCATCACCATCGCGACACCATCGTCCAACGCCTTTGTCGCCATCGTGCTCGCAGCGTCGTTCGCGGTCCCAGGCCCTCTCAGTCCTTACGCCCATCGCTGCCCAGTACTCAGCAGACGCCCGCGCAAGCCTCTCAGCGGCCAGCAGTCGCCCGCTCGCGCGCCCAGCGGCACCGCAGGCCCTTCCCCGCGCGCTCGCAGCCCCTTACTCGCCCGTTCGACCCTCTTTCGTGCAAATCTCCCCGAGAACGGTACAAGACTGTCTAACCCCCCTTGTTTTATGTGTGTATACGTTAGTAGGGTTTAAATTATGATCGATTATTTGCATATTACGTTCGTTATTTGCGTTCGTATGAGAATTATGCTTAAATCGTGAATAGGGCTGTGGATTATTGGAAAATTTAAAGTCTTTGGCCTCATGGAGAAGGCCTTAGACGTTTATGTTGAACAATTGGTCTCTTATGCATTTTTGAATCGAGTAGTGCTGCTGAATATTCGAAGAATCATTTAAAATCGTATACTCGTCCGATTTCTGTGAAAATTGAACTGTATTACCTTCTGAATGTATTATGTGTGGTGTAAAAATTTCAAGTCAAAATGAGGTCTGTAGCTATGTCAAATGTCGATTTGAAGTTCTGGGTAGAAACTTTGAAAAATCAGCAAAAATCATATTCTTGGAATTTTGCTGTGATTTTTGGTGAGTGTTAGTAATCTGATGATATGTGTGTTGTGTCCAAATTTCGTTGAAAAATTCAAAGGATTGCCCGGTGAACTAGAAAGTTCATATTTTCATCGTCTTTTTGTAAAAATTGTTTGTTTATGTTAAATTGAAGAGTTAAGTCTGAAACCTTGTGAAATATACCTTTCTGGGTCTATTTTGATGTGTAAAAGTTTCAAGTAAATCGGTCGGTCCTATTTGAAACCCTGCTTGTCCGTTGGGCCCTGTGCACTGCTGCCAGCGCACGCCAGCGCCCGCCGGCGCACGCCAGTGTCCGCACAGCACCCCAGCGCGCACGCACAGCGTGATGCGGAAGTGGACCCCGACCCTACCAAGCCCGAGCACGGAACGCGTTTAGGCCAAGGAAGACAACGTCGCAAATGGACGCGCCATCGGAGGTATCGGGATGTTTATCAAAGGAGTGAAACCTGGTGGGGATGGCCAAAGCACCGGGTGGCTCGAAGAAATGGATGGCACGCGAGTCGGGTGGCTAACGGGTGCAGCGCACGCGCACGGGCGCGCTGATGCGTAAGTGGGTTTGGACCCCTGACGACAAGAAGGGCCGAGAGCCAAGACAACCCGAGGAGGCTGAAAATAGGGCCAAAACGACGTACGCATGGCCTAAGAGACGGGTACGAGCTCGTAAGCGAGGCGCATCAACACGCAAGAAAGGGCGCATTCAAGAAGGGCGCGCACACGCGCATTGGCGTAGACACGCATGGCGCTTGATGGTTTGGCGATGTGGCGCGCAGGGGGTGGATGTTGGGTGGTTGACGCGCGCGAGGGGTTACTATTGATGGACGAGCGTGGCCAAAGGACAAATAAGCAAATGGCGCGCATCGGGCCATGATGCGCGCAACAGGGCTAAATGCGATGGCGCGCTTTGGTCGAGAGATCGTGAACGAGGAGCAGAAGGGTGCGCGGTAAAAATGAAGGCCACGGCCGTCGATTGGGATGCGTTGGCATTCGGGGCGTTGGACGGGCGCAAGGTGCACACGGACTACGGGCGTACGCATGCAAGGGACGGAGACGCGCCAGCAGCGGGCGGGAGCGATAGCGCGTACGCGGTTGACGTCCTAAGCCCAGCGGGCATAGGAGTGCCGGGAGCAGGCGTGCACGCGCATGAGGAGGTCGGCGGACTAGGGCGCGCGCGCGAAGGACGCTGCGTGGGAGTCAAGCGCTCGGGTTGCCGCGCGCCACGAGGAGTA